TTGCAACTCAAATTTTCACTCACTTTTATATATAAAATGAAAAACCGATAGTAATTTTTCTGGCTTTTATATATTTGATTTAATTTGTGGCAAAAATTTGATAATTCAAACTGAACTCGTTATCTGCTTGCAATTTAAAAGATTACACTCTTAGAATTTCAAATTAAATTTGCGACAAATTCAATTTGAAATTTGTTAAATCATTTTATATATAATTTTAAATTTTAGTGAAAATATTCAAATATAAAAATTAATAATTTTATTTTATCTTTTCATATAAAATGAAATTTATATATGTAAAATGATTTAATTTTTCGCAAAAATTTGATAATTCAAATTGAACATTTTATTTAATCCGAAAAGTATTTTGAAAGATGCAAAAAATTGTAACCATTTTTGAAAATATTTTGCATTTTTGATGTGGATGAATAAAATTTCTGAACTTTAACTGAATAATAATTAGAAGCATTAAAGTATTAAAGCTTCAATTTTACAATTCAATTATTTGCTCATTTCCGTCTTCTTAAGTAAAAAATTTTTAATATGCTTTTCAATTAGTTTCAAAATAAAATACGTCAGAAATACTCAATAAATGGCTATTTTTTAAGAATATATTCAAATTAGATGTATTTAACTTAAAGGATATTCACATTGATGAACTGCTTGCTTCAATTAATCTTTTAAATTGCTCAGTGGAGCATAAAGTTTTATTTGAAAATGTTTTATAAAAATGTTTTAATTTTAAATAGTATGCTATTATATAGTAACAGTATGTACAGTAGTCTGCTAAATGCTTTAATTTGAAAGAATACAATTAATATTATCAGTATGCACATTTTATCATCACTAATCTGCTAACTGCTATTACCACGCATGCATATTTGAATATAGTACTCTCTAAAGTATTTACTACTAAGTAAATCAGTCATAAGTTGAAAATAAATCACTATTTTAGCATTTTCAAATTACCAATTAGTGAGTGAGAAAGCATAATAATTTGTTGTTAATTTAATTATAAAAGATTTTACTTAATTTGAAAGTGTTACTTTGATAATTTAATTTGACTTAATTACTTACAAAAAAAGTTTCAATTTCCAAAAAAATATCTTAATTACTATTCATGCAATCGCATTTAGTTCCAAAATATTAAAACATAAAGCAAAGATATTTTGCCTTAATGATGTCTTTTCAAAAAATATTAAATCTAAAAATATCTCTCCAGACATAAATATTTTATAACAGCAATGACCAAAAAAAATGCATATGTCGTCAGATTATTCCATGAAATTATTGAAAACGTGGACGAGAATGATGGATAGATTCGTCATATAGCTTTCATACAATAATTCAAAATGTCATATTGAAGATTCCTGCATTTTCTATGAATTTATTAATAATTTATGCAAATTTTCTTGAAAATAAATTCACTACAATATGATCAAAAAGTAGCATAATTACTCAAAAGATATTCCAAATAAAAAGTCAGTAAAGTTAATTCACTGTTAAATTATGCATAATTATAAATTCTATACAATGTATGTTTGCTCGAGTTTATTTACTGGACTAAAAAGCTTATGAGTATGAGCAGTGCTTTCGTGGTGATTAAAAATTCAGAACTGCTCCAAATCTGCAAGACAGGTTTTCGCTGTGCTACTTTTGAAATAAATTAATTCACTGTACGCATTTATATGCCTACAGACAAATACTAAATTCATTTCTATTTTTAATTTACAAACCTTAAATTTTATGCTGTTTAAATTTTTACGTCATTAAGTGAAAAAAAAGTTATGTCAAGTAATTATCACAATTTTGTGTGAGTGTCAAATCAGAAGCTTCACGTTTATTTCATTACAGAATCTTATTTGCGTAAGCATTTTAGAAGAACAATAATTAACTCATTTGCTGTTTGTTATTACGAACAATTTTCATTCTTGTGTTATAATTAGTCATGTAATATAAGTAATCTTCATAATTGGTGATTATAATAATTAGAATACATTATATGCAATAGTTATTTTGATTATTATTAGTAAGTGAAAAAATATGACAGTTTAATTATTTTTCGTAATTTCGGAACTTGTAACGAAAAAACAAAAGAATATGAATATGTATGGTTTTTTTCATTGACATAATATAAAAAACACATATTTTTTTCAAATATCTAAAAATTATGATAATAATAATAATAATAATAATAATAATAATAATAATAATAATAATACTAGTAATAACAATAATAAATAGTAATAGTAATAGTAATAATAATAATAATAATAATAATAATAGTAATGATAGTAATAACAATAATAAATAGTAATAGTAATAGTAATAGTAATAGTAATAGTAATAGTAATAGT